GAAATAGTATACGCATAAAGAAACTACTAACCATCTCCTTAACTCAATATTTTGGAGTAAATACAGTTACATAGACATTTTTATTATAAAAACACGTGTAGGCATATTCCAAAGGAGTGGTAATGAAGGAGTATTTAAGTATAAAAGGCATCAAGTTTAGCTAAAGTATACTAAAAGTGAATTGTTTTTAACTTGAATCTTGAAAAGGTTAGTTGGATTCCCAGGCTAACGTCTGAAAACCTTTTAAACCTAGAATACTGCCTAACTGTGCTACCTGGTATGTCTAGAATCTGTATTCCAGTCCATACTTTGAAAGTCGACATTGTACTCTTCCTCCTCTAATAGACTCAGGGCTGGAGGCAGCAGTGGCAGCTTCCGAAGGGAGATCCAGGAAAGGGTGTGTGCGTGTGTGTGAGATGTATAACCAATCACTCATACATAGATGTGTGTGATGTATAACCTGTAACTCATACATACATGTGTGTGATGTATAACCTATAACTCATATATGTATGTGTGTGAGATGTGTAACTCATGCATACGTGTGTGGTTGTGTGTTATATGTATAACTCATACAGGCATGTGTGATATCTATAACCTATAGTCATGTTAAGTGCTCTTTGAAAATGGGTGATTTGTATTGTAGCCTTCAAAGTACTTGGTTTTTTTTTTACATAATTGAAGCTTGGGTTACTGCAGTTGTAGAATGATATCTAGAAAGGAAAACCATGTATGGAATAATATATTGAGAAGTATTTGAGGACATTCTTGATGTGGGCCATCTCTCTGATACAACGTAAATTGTGAGACATGAAAATGGAGATGCTCTGGAATATATCAACAGAAGGGCAGGTGATAGAAATAGAAAATTGTTTTGGGCTAGATGTGAATATGAGGAGCGACTTGGCCTTTATGATTTTTGGAAAAGTCTTAGGTTTGGTTTGGTCTTTGGTTTCTTTCGGAGATACCTGTAAAAGGCAGGGGTTGAGACCCTGCAGTAGCACATCTTTAATGTTAGAAATAGCACGAGTACACAGTGGGATGGATTTGGATTGTGGGTGAATGTTTAATAATAGGCCAAAGAAGAGAAGGTTAAAATGGAATAATTTGCACTGGATAAGTGTCTGTTTTCATGTCTGAAGTCTCACTGGAAGATAGTTGATGCATTTCGAGAGGTGCAGATAATCTGTGTATTTCATGCTTTCGATTTGGAGAAATTTCAGCGTTAAGCTAACATTTTTGACATGGGTGCAAATTAGTTGAATTTTAAGTAGGACTTTGAGAGTTCATGGCAGTGATGAAACAGATATTACAAAAACAGTTTTAGTCACTGATAATATGAATTTGCTACACTGTTATCTATAGCATTAAAATGTAGACATTCTCATCATTTTCCAATTAGAATTTCTGCTTTAGTTATGCCAGTTTTGGTTGTGTACTATTTGAAGTGAAGTAAGCAGACCTTCCGTATACCCAGGGTAATCCAGACTGAAGGTGAAGATAGGGCTGCCTCAGGGCCCTGTATTGGAAATTTAGCCTCGAATCAGATTGACTGAGCCTCTCTGTAGGCCGTTGACTTACTGCAGATTCTGAAGCACCAGCTCAGCCTCGGTTTTCAACTCTTCCATCGAAAGTTTTATTTTACCTTTTGCAACGAAGTGCTGTTTTAGGCATAAATTCGAAGTTAAATCATTCTGGCAAAACTTAATTCTTAGTCCTTCTGTTTTAGTTTTATTATAACCTATCTATCAACATATATGTTTATGTTGAATTGTGAAGTCAGCACACGTGTAACATCAGTATATTGTTTGAGCGATTTCTGTCATTGTTATGTGCACAGTTTTTCTTGACAGGTGAAAGTAACACAGAAAGAATTCCATGAAACTGTGAACTTTGAGAACTACTTGGCTGACACATATTTTCATTCAGGCAAATTAGTTCCTGGCAAATTCCCAAGAATCCTTCAGGACTGAGCTCAGGTGTTTCTTCTAGGAGCTTGGAGGTGCTCCTTGCCCAGGGCCTCGTGTCCGACCCAGTTAGGACGTCTCCTGTGTGGGGCATTGTGATCTTGGTTCAGCCCCTCTCTTTTAGTGACTGCCTTACTTCTCAGACACTCCTTTTTATGCCACCAGGGCCTGGCACAGTGCAGTTCCTGTGTGGTGAATGGATTAATCAAGTCATTAGAATGAACACCAGGGCAACCCTAAGAAGGAAGAAGGGCAAAGATCGATGCAGCCTTGGGTGGGGTGTAAGTGGGAGGCAGGCCTGGCAGCTTCTTCAACTTGGGTTTGGGGTGTACAGTCCTGGCTCCCCTTTCTTGCCTCCCATTTGTGCCTCAGTTCATAGTCTGTCAGATTCTGCCCTCACCTCTGTGATGAGACTGCCCTGGCCACGCTCAGCAATGGCCTCCAAGTCATGGGGACAGCAAAAGCTTTAGCCCTCACCTGTTGGACCCTGGGCTGCATTTGACATGCCTGTTCTGTTGCTACACATGACTCCCTTCTCTTGCTCTCTAGAATTCTAACTGCATTTTCTGAATATTCGTTTGGTCTCTCTGTGCG